GGAAATTAGAAAATACTTTGAGATAAGTGAAAATGAAGAAACAACATACCAAAACTTATGGAATACAACTAAAGCAGTGCTCAGAGGAAAATTTGTAGCTAGAAATACCTATGATAAAAAAGAAAGATCTCAAATCAATAACCTAACTTTTCACCTGACAAAACCTGGAAAAGAACAAATTAAACCAAAAGCAAGCAGAAAGAAGGAAAAAGCAAAGATTAGAGAAAGAATAAATGAAATAGAGAATAAAAAAATTAGACAAATCAATGAAACCAAAAGTTGTTCTTTGAAAATATCAACAAAATTGACAAATCTTCAGATAGGTTGACTAAGAAAAAAAGGCAAGACAAATTACTAATATCAGATGAAAATGGAGGCATTACTACCAATTTTACAGAAATAAAAAGAATTGTATTAAAATTCAATAGCAAAAAAACAATCTGATTAAAAAATAGGCAAAGATTAACAGATGGCTACCACATACATGAAAAAGTGCTCAACATCACTAACCATCAGGGAAATGCAAATCAAAATCACAATAAGATACTACTTCATAGCTGTTAAGATGTCTATTATCAAAAATACAAGAAATAAAAAGTGCTGAAGAGGGTGTGGAGAAAAGGGGACCCTGTGTACTGTTGGTGGGATTGTAAATTGGGGCAGCCACTCTGAAAAATAATATGAAGGTCCTCAAAAAATTAAAAATAGAACTGCCATATGATCCAGCAATTCATGGGTATTCTGGGTATTTATCCAAGGAAAACAAATACAATAATTCAAAATAATATATGCACCCCCATATTCATTGCTGCATTGGGGTATTTACAGTAGCCAAGATATGTAAGCAACCTGAGTGTCCATCAGAGGATGAATGGAGTAAGAAAATGTGGTATATATGTACAATGGAATATTATTCAGCCATAAAAAGGAAATCTTGCTATTTGTGGCAACATGGAAGGACCCTGAGGGCATTATACTAAGTGAAATAAGATAGAAAAAGACAAATGCCATATGTTCACATTTGTATGTGGAACCTACAAAAACAAAACTAAACAAGTTCATAGATACTGAGAACAGATTGGTTGTTGCTGGAGGGGAATGGAGGGTGGGTGAAACAGGCCAAGGAAGTCAAAAGGTACAAATTTCCAGTTATAAAATAAATGTAAGTCATGGGGATATAATGTATAGCATGAGTGTAGTTAATAATACCATATTGTATATTTGAAAGTTGCTAAGAGAGTGGATCTTAAAAGCCTTCATCAAAAAAATTTATAACTATGTTTTTAAAAAAAGATAAAAATAGAAGGTATCTATGAAGAAAATCTAACAAAAGATGTGCCAGAGGCCCTTTATGGAGGAAATTATAAATCTTTATTGAAATGGAGAGCTATGTTCTGTCAGGCTGCTTAATATTGTGAAGATATCCTTTCTCTCTGACTCAATCATAGTGTAATTTCAATCAAAATCCCAAATGTTTCTTAATGGAATCTGACAAGCCAGTTCTAAGCTTTATATGGAAGTGCAAAGAAAAGTCAAAGAGCAACAAGGTAGAAAAACTTACTCTACCAGATATTAATATTTACTACACAGCTATATCACTTAAAAGAGTGTGATATTGGCACAGAGGTTTGACAGACAGGCCAAGGGTACAGAATAGAAACTCAAAAATAGACCTATACCTATTTGGAAATTTGATGTATTACAAGTAGCATTGCAGATTAATGGGTGAAAGGGTTAACTTTTCAATAACTGATGTTGGGGAAATTGGTTACCCATAAAGAAATAATAAAATTAGAATAAATTATATTCCCAGTTCACATCAAACACAAAAATCAATTCTCTGGTATCTTAGAGGGACTGCTGTAAATGGGAGTACTCCTAAAAATAGCACAGAACAAAACACCCAACATATGAAGAATGGAGGAGGAGGAAAAAGAAGGGAAAGAAATAATCATCAGACTGTGTTTATAACAGCTCAATAAGCGAGTGAGGTCAGACAGTAAGATAGTAAACAAAAATCAATTCTGGATATAGTAAATCCATTAAACTTTTAGAAGAAAATACAGTTCAGAAATCCTCAACTGGCAATACCCCCACCCAGGGGATGTTTGAAAATGTACAGGAGTATTTGGGTTGTTATAATGACAGGAACAGTGCTAAAGGCATTTGGTACCCAGGGTCCAGGGATGCTAAGTGTCCTGCAGTGAGAGCCAGACCCACATAAAGAATAATTGCCTTACCCTGAATGCCAGTAATCTCCCTGCTCACAAAGAAACACTGTTATAGGAGAATATTTCTGTAATCTTGGGATAGGGAGAATTTCTTTAAAGAAATGCAAAAAGCACCAACCATAAAGGAAAAGAGTAATAAATTCAATTACATTAGAATGTAGTGCCTCTGTTTACCAAAAAATACCATAAAATGAAAAGACAAGACACAAAGTGGAAGAACATTTTTAGCATTCATATTACTGACAACGTATTAGTATTTGAAATATACAAGCTTCATATGACAATACCTAAAAAAAAATCCAGAAGAAAAATGGGCAGAAGATATGAACAGTCCTTTCACAGAAGAGGAAATTTGAGTGTCAAGAGACATGAAAAGATGCTCAGCCTCATTACTAATCAAGGAGATGCAAATTAATACCACCATGAATGACCCTGCACCCAAAACATGAAATTCCATTTTAATTAACCAGATTGAAATAAATAATGTGAATTAAACAATACTAAGTTAGTGAGGATGCGGAACACTTATGCTTCTGGCAGGGGTGTATATGGGACAACCAATTTGGGAAACAATTTGGCATTATCTAACAAATTTGAACATATGTGTACTTTACAGCTCATTGATTCCACTCCTAGAAACATACCTTAGAAAAACTTGGGCAAGTGTAGTATAAAGAAAATTTATAGCAACATTGCTCAGAATAGCAAAAAAAAAAAAAAAAAAACAGAAACAATAGATGTAGAATATCTCTCTCTTGTAGTATACTTACAAAATGAAATATTAGGCAGCAATGAAAATGGATGACCCACTGCTAGAGGTAACAATGTGAAAGATTTGCAGACACAATTTTGAGTAAAAACAAATTGCAGAATAATTTATATGATACCAATATTTACAGTTCAAAACCAAGCAAAACTAAAGAGTTTATTGTTTAGGGATATGCATATGTGTAGGAAGACTATAAGGAAATGTAAGGGAGTGACTTAAAGGTTCATTATTGTGGGGACTTCTGGGAAAAAGATAGGGTGGTGGCTGGAGAGAAGCAGCAGGGAGCTGCAGTGGTGCTGAAAATGTTCTAATAAGATGGATGGTAGGCTCACAGGCATTTATTTTATTATTTTGCTTCATAACTTATATGTTAAGTATTTTTTCATATAGAAATTACATACAAATATGATTTACATATATTAAACATTTTGTACATACATCAATTGCATCATTTCTTTAAAGGAAGAATGCAGGAGAACTCACTCCTGACTCTTCAGCTGCTGCATCTGTTCACAGCAGCAGTGTTGCCTTCGGACACACAGTTCTCCTGATCTCCTCACACTGAAGGTCATGGAGCCAAAGGCAGGCTTCAAATGGCAGTATGGCCCTTCTCCAGCTAGGTCAGGAATTCAAAAATAAGCACTCCCTCTCTCACGATCAAGGGTGTGCTCGGTCCCTGGGCCTGCCGTCATTGTCATGGGATAGCCATAGAGAGAGCCAGCAGAAAAACCCACACACTTTGCCGTGGGGGTCTCTGCAAGTGGGAAGTGGGAGGGTGGACAGAAGGCACTGGACTGGTGCCAGAGAAACCGGGTTGCCTTCTAATGGCATCCACATTAGCTCATGAGACCCTTAGCAATTCATTTCCCTTCTCCAGGCTCCACTTCCTCCCCTGTCCTCTTCAGGGTTAACTAGAATGCACTTTAAAGGTGGTTCCAGCCTGACACCCGAGGATTCTTGGTCCACTTGAGGGGAAAACAGTTTGCATATTGCTAGTCTCCAGGCTGGTGAATAATGAAGCTTCTCTCTATTGATCAGAGTTTTTGGAGGTATTGCTGAGTTGGTTCTCTGATAGTGTGGAGAAATAAACACACGTGCATCTACAAATGGCCATTCTTGAGGAAGAAATTCCCATTTGCACAATTAGCCCTAAGAATATAAATGGAAGTAGGAGTAAAACTGTCCTCAAGCTTGTGCAGCTTGTCCCCCTTCGCCAGACTGCCTTTGATTACAGAGGTTTCAATCCCTTCGTGCATCACCTTCTCGAGGCGTTCTTCCTTACATGCACATTTTGAGGGAGAAAAAAAGAAACCTGTCTTTTTCAAGTTTTCCCCACCAACCCTCCCGTACATCTGCAGTATTCCTCTGCTTTATAACAACCACTATCTCAACCAGAAGAGACTTGCATAATAAGCAAAATGAGCTTTGTCATTTGGGGGCTGGACTAAGGGTTAAATTAAAGAGACAACTGGCTAGAATGAGGGGAGGGACAGCAGCATTTGTGCCAGCTGCTTCTCACTTTTATTCTTGCCCACTGTTTGTCTCCCTGCCCAGGGGTGCTGAGCTGCAAGGCTTTCCAGGCTCCTGGGAAGTTCCAAGTAGTGAGCTGGGGCTGAGGTAACCTAACTTCCCCTGGACAAAAGATGTTTCAGGCTCAAATTTGGAACTGAAAAGGAAATCTAAAATGCACAAGTCATTTTTTCATCACTTGCAAATAATCACTCTCTCCTTCCCCAAAATCTTCTAGGCTTATTTAAAGCAATATTTTGCTCTTAGAGCTTTTTCTTTCCCTTGGGCTATAGTTATTTTGTTTTGCTTTTCTTAGCAGCACTTTTGAGGAACTTCTTTTCTAAAGGAAAGAGAGACTATGTGTTTCTTTGGGTGAGTCACTGTTCTTCAGTCAGTGCTAGTGAGAATCTGAAAGATTAACAAAGATTGCCAAGGGTGGCTGCAATCCAGTACCCAAATGCTCACATAAGTTGCCTCCCTTTCCATTTCAGGGTGAAAATAATCAGGGACAAGAAGAGGAAGGGATTTATGTGAATAAATAAGATACTGTCTTACAGCCAAAGCAACGTTCAGATTCTCAGCTGGCAAAGAAATTCTTGAGCCTGATCTGTAGTGGAAGTATGAGCGAACTGCTGAATGGAATGCAAAGAAAACCCTGGGCTTAACCTCCGTTCCAGTCAGTCTACAGAGTCTCAGAGCAGTACTATTCCTGGAAGGCAAAGTGCTTGCCCATGCACTGTCCTACCCCCAGCATGAGAAATCCAGGGCCTCCGTGACTGTGCCTGCACCCTGCCTCCTATTTCTGCAGTCCAGTTGCTTTGGTGAAATGGGAATGTACAATGCCTATCCATGAAGGACCACTCTGAAAGTGATTTATAAACTGTAAAGTACTAGGGGATGTCAGGTGGCCCTGTCACTCGCCCATTTCTATTGTATACTGCACTCCTTCACTTGTCTTCTCTCATTATTGGACAAAAACCACAGAAATCTGTGGTGAGAGGTCAGGCCCTGCATATATCACTCATTCACAAGTCCCAAGGCATAGAAGCATAAATCGACCTCAATTCTAGATTTCCCAGTCTACACATGGAGAGCATTTGCCAATCAGTAACCTCACAAAGATGTCATAGAATGGTCATTAATTGCCTTAAGACAGCTTTTGGTGGAGGGGAGAGCTTTAAAGCCTTTTGAAGGAAAACCTCACAATTTCAACATGCTGTTATTACTTCTGCACTGAAGTAAAAACTCTGGTGTTTATATAACCTTTTATTCCAATGTCAGAAATTTGATGACTTCTCATGGCTCTGCCGTGAAGTGAGGAGAAGGCAGTCACGCTGTAGGTGCTATAGCCAGTGAGGTGCTCTGCCCAGAGTGACTGGAAAGCAAGATCGAAAAGCCAAGCACCATCCACTCTGCAGACTAGGGCATCCTTGGGCTGTATTAAAGGACTGCTATCCTTCCTCAGCACCTCACCCAAGCTCTACATTTAGTAAACAGAGGAACTTGAAATTTGTGATAAAATTACATTAAAAAAAAAGAACTTCAGCATTCCATTCACTCATCTGCTGGTTATTTGAGTATGTACTTACTAGCACTTTCCAGAACAAAGTAATCCCCATGTAGAGACAAAGATGGGTCTAATACCAGGGCATGGTGGGGAAGGGGCATTGCACTCCTTCCCTCCTCTACCCTCCTTTTCCCAGGGCCCATCCAGCTGACAGGTGCCAGAAGGCAAGAAATGTTACCAAATGTTAGTTTCCAGCCCCAAAGAAGCTGTCACAAAAGGGAGACAGAACAAGGCAGCTCTTAAAATCCTTCAACTGAGGGATATAGCAAGGCCTATCTAATTACACAAAATTAGAAACGGTTTAACTTGTTGAGAATGTGCTACATGTGAAATGAAATAAAATGATACCTCTGGCACCCTGCAATGATACTGTATTGGAAGGAAAGCACAAAGCATTTGTTCACGCTATCAGTAACACCAGTTTTTCTCATCCAACATTTTCAACACATCTGGTTTTAATATGGTGGTCTAAGTGAAGTAAGTTAACTTTTCACCCACTGTTCTGGCCCTCCTTTTCTTTCTTCCCTGTACAGTTCCATTTGTGTTGGCATTGTCCTTCTCTCACCCATCCCTCCCCAAGCTAACAGAGGGAGAAGAGGATTATGCTGAGAAACTTTGCTTATCTCTGGGCTCTTGATTATTTCACTGTTCAAATAGCACTAACAATGATTTGAAAGCAAGATTAGTCTTTGTTCCAGCTAAAGTCAACAGATTTTAGCTTTGTCCTTCTATGTAATTTGTTAAACTATCAACACTGAATAAGACCTAAGTAATGGATGAGTCATAAAACATCCTGATTTTCCAAAATTAGGGAAAGATCATCTCAGTTACTCTTAACTAGAATGCTCCAGGAATCTTGTATCTGCCTAACTGGTTTCTAGCTAACACAGGAGTAACTTGACCATTTGGGGCCTGTGTTGGCCAAAAAAAAATACTTGGTGATTATGTACCAAAGGGGTTTACAAAATTGGTGTATTTCCCATGAAAATGGAATTTTCAAACTACAAAATGTGTTTTCTTCTACACATTCCTTGTCAGAACAGAAAAAGGATTTTACTTGCCCAGAACCAGGAAAAGATAGTAGGATTTTGCAAATGGCTATGACTAAAAGCTAAAGTTTAGGGTTGTTTTTTTTTAGTGCTCTAATACAAAAAACGTTACTAATATTTACTAATTTTTTTTGCCTTCTTTAGAATTGTGGCTCACACAACTTTGCAAATAGCAAAATTTGTCACTCTAAACTGACAGGGATTTTCTACTGTGATTATAAGGTTCAATTTAAATTGTGCTCAATCTTGACTCTTTTTTAGACCTTTCGCTGCGTTCTAAATTCTCTCTGAATTACAGATTGTACTTGGAAGGAGATAGGCGTGAATGATCTACAGGTCCCCTGAAAGGTGCAGTCTTTCAGATGGCTTCTGATGTATTTTTCCTCTCTCTGAAAGCAATCCAACAGGGAACTTCTATAGCAAATGTTTTAACCCAAAAAAATGACTAGTAATGGGACTTTTCATGCCCTCTGGCAAGCCAGTGGGGTTGATGATTTGGGCCACGTGTACCATTCAGTGCCTGAAACATCACAAGGATGTCTGTCTGTGTAGGGCTGTTGCCCGCTGTGTGGCGCCATGAAGGGGCTAGCAAGCAGTGCTATCTATAGCCTTGACCTAAGGGAAGCTCCATTTTTACTACATCCAAAGTCAGCAAGCAGTCATTAAGCACATGCTATGTGCAAAGCCTTGTTCGGTTTCTGTAACTTTCTCTGTAATGTGTTAATAGATTTATTTTTCCAAGTGCTCTGGGATTTCATCAATCATTTACTGACTACTACTGTATGTAGGCATGGTGCTGGGGATACCAAGATGAATCGGAGGTGTTACCTGACTTACAGAGCTCAGAGTACAGTGTGATAAAGAAAAAATTACAATGGGGTGTGAGAGTACAGATTCCTTGCAAAGAGTTTTGTGAGCGTAACCTGTATCCTAAAAGATGGGTAGGATTTCACCAGGCAGACAGGAGAGGATCCCAAGCAGAGGGAACAGCATGTGCAAAAGCTCACTAAAGCATATTATAGAGAGGGCAAATATAAGTTTTACTAATGTTGAGTTTGGATTTTATTCTCAGGATTACATTGCCCTTTTTAAATATAAGACATGATATTTTAAGGCAATGACAAGAAAAGGCCTGATAGTTTGGAAGTTCTCCTCTTTATGCTGTGATGCTTATCTAGTGTCTTGCACATAGCAGGCCCTCAATAAATGCTTGCTGAATGATGAGTTCCATATCTCTTTCCATGCATAAATTACTACTCTATCAAGGATCAGCTTACAAAGGAAAGCTTCTGCCTGTGACTTAGGAATAGATGTTCACAGTTCTGCTGTCACCCCAGCCTCCTCTACTCTTGAGAAGTATGTCTCTGCCATTGGACCTTAATTGCATTTATGAGTAGGAAAGGCCGCCCTTACTTTGAATCCTCAGTAACACAGATTTCTACTTGGAGTGCCTCTATATATTTGTAATCCAAAAAAGTACCATTTGAGCAGCACAATCCTCATGTTGATGACACAGGGGTGGGTATCCTAGGAACTTCAGTGATACTGGCTAATATGGATAGGTACACCTCCCATTTTAAACTTTATAATAGAACCTAAACATGATTGATAGAACACTTTACATGGCAATAATAAAGATATGAGTTGTCTGCACTGAACAGCCTTGACAGCATAACGTGGTACTGCCTATTCTTTTTTGTTAAGAAAGAGAAGATAAATTTTTATTATTTTTATAAATTATGCAATAACCTTTAAAGTAGTAGTAAATTTTTTGCCTTGAAATTCACTAGAGAATAGATGACAGAGAATGTAGTTAGACATAAAACATTTGCAAATCATATGCAAGTACACTTGTAACCCTTTCAGTGGGTTTCTGGATCCAGTCTTTGGGAAAATTCCCACCAGGGAATCTTGTTTTGCTGTGAATCTAAAATGTATCAGAAGTATGCTTCTTTAGTTCCAAATCTTGGGAGCTATGTGACTGGCTCTTTCAGGCCTGATTTCTATAGCCATACCTTTCTAGACGCCACAATAGCAGGACATAGAATGTACTATCTTTTGGTCCCTGTGCTACACTGAGTAAATTCTTTCCACAAATGATTGAGTGCCTCCTAGAGCCAAGCACAGTGGTGGGGTCTATGTATACAGAAGTAAATAAGATAGCTACAGCCCTGCCCCATGTCTCCCTCAGCCCAGTGAAATGGCTCGGACTCTCTTTTGGGTCGTGGTCCCTTTTGAAAACCTGATTCCAACTGGCCCTGTATTACTTAAATATTAGGGTGGTGGCTTCCCGCTTCCCCAAAGAAAAGCGAGAACTTTTGTCCCTGATGAATGAAGTCTGGTGAGAGCCAGCGTAGGAAGTTATTCTTTCTAGATGTTCACCTTTATCCTCTTTTGGAGCCTGTAGTATGGCAGAAAGGACATGGGCTTTTGAGCTAATCAGCTGGGGACTTTGATCCTCTAACTAGCAGTGAGACCTTGGGTAATTTGCCCATCTCTCACAAACTCAGTTTCCTTATCCCTAAAACAGTGCTCCTCATATGCACTTTGCAGGGTGACATATAAGGATACCAACCCTATGGGATGAGGGCCATACCTTTATGACCTCATTTAACATTAATTGCTTCCTCATTCTAAATATAGTCACATTGGGGGGTTAAGGATTCAACATATGATTTGAGGGGAACACAGTTTAGTCCATAGCAGAGAGAGAGAGAGAGAGTGTGTGTGTGTGTGTGTGTGTGTGTGTGTGTGTGTGTGTATGTGTGTGTGTATGTGTATTTAATCACTCTGGCGTTTGTATAGACAGTAGATTAAAAAGGTGTACCAGTGGAACTAGAAAGACCAGTTAGGAGGCTGTTGTGGTAGTATGGATTCCAAACATATCTTGAAGATAGAACCAACAAGGCTTGTTGATGAATCAGATGTAGGGGTGAAAGAGGGAAGTGTCATGGAGGACCTCAGGGTTCTTTCTTGGGCAGCTGGGTAAATGATTGATTGTATAAGGGAACACCGGAGGAGGAGGTATGGGTTGGGAATGGAGGCATCAGGGCAGCTCATCTGGTCTCCCTCCCTCCAGTCTTTCCATCCATAAGCCATCCTTCATGTCAGTTATTTTTGAGCAATGCAACATTAATCATGCTATCCCCCTGCTTCAAATATAGATACACACACACACACACACACACACACACACACACATACCTCCAAGAGCTTACAGATCCAAAATTCTTAGAAAAGTACACAAGATCCTTCTGGATTGGACCCTAATCTATTTTTCCACTATACTCACCCTACCGCTGCCCTGAATCATGGTTTAGTCAAGCCTTTGACCAAGATATTGCTTCTACTAGGAATGTCCTTCCTCCCACATGGCTGCCTGATGAAGTCCTAGTCTTCCTTCAAGTTCCAACTCCCACCTCATCTGTCTGTGACATCCTCCCTGGCCTCCTCTCCCCTCCAAAGCTAATCACTTCTTTCTCTGAGATCTTCTAGTACCTGACACATTGAGTTATCTGAGACCTTATCATATTGCTTGTAATTCATTTACTTATCTGTTTCCCCAGCTAAACTAAATGCAAGGGTAAAAACTGTTTCTGATCCTTCTCCCCAGCCCAAATTCATATCCACAGGGCCAGGAAACAAGAAAGTACTCAAATACAATGATGGTAATAATAATATCAAACACTCATTGAATGATTACTATGTGCCTCGCACATTCTAAATGCTTTAGATGCATTTCCTCATCTATATCCTCAGCAATTCTGTTATTATCCCCATTTCACAGATGGCTCTCCCAAGTTGGCAGAATGAATAAGTAGCACAGCCAGGATTCAGACCCAGGAAGGCTGGCTCTAGAGTCTGAGCTCTTCACCACTGCACTGCACAGCTTCCCAGTGTCTGTTGTTGCTCAAGTGATTGGCTGTTACTTTTCAGACTCTCTTCCCAACAAAGCAGTCTTCATCTGTTCTCACCCCACTGTTTCCCTGTGTTATTTCCTTGTATCCTGGGAGCTGCTATGATGATGACACCAGAGAGTAGGGGGATTATTCCACTAAAATTAGAGGACACAGCAGGAAGAGAGCTACAGAAACACCCCCTTCCTATTCCATCTTTCCTTTCTCTCCAACTGCCCCACTCCTCAAGCACTGCATACCTGCTTCCTTCTGCCTTAGAAGAAGCCAAAGGATTTTCTTCTTTCCTCCTAGTCTTCTTTTCAACTCTACTTGGCTTCCAGCTCCTCTCTGCCCAACATTTTATAGTATAGGAACTAGGCTTAGCTAACTTCTGCAAACTCTAGTTCACACACAGACTCAAATTGAGTGTGTGCCCTGTAATGCCCCCAGCTGAGCCTATATC